TTTATGTATGAGAGAGTAATAAAACAGCATTTGTAATGCAAAACTTGGTCATTTTAAATATTTTTACAGAATAATCTAAATATTTCCTAAAATTGTAATAAATGTACCTGAGCTATTACAAGTTTTGGGTCTTTTATTGGTCCTTTATAAACATAAGCTATACAGAACAATAGAAAAAGGTTTGGACAGGTCAAAAGCCCTGTGTATTAAAGATTACATAGCCGTATCTTAAGATTATTTTCAATAAGTACCTATTTGCCAATTTTGTTTTATTTTAATTCCAAGAGTTTCTTACAGTAATCGAATTATAATCAAACTACCAAAGCAATAATTATATACAACATTTGTTGCGTCTGATAAAGAATCTAAATTAGGGAGAGGGGGGCAGGCTAATAAAAATAGCATAATAGTTTTTCTTTTCTCTTTATTAGTTATTAACAATCACATTCTATAAATTTGTAGTACAGTAATAATTTTTACTTATTATGCAATATACTATCAGGGTTTTATAGTTTTTTTAAAAAACACAAATGTTTCTAAATTATGCCGTAACCGAAAATGACATAGGTTCGAGTAAGATCAATGATAACTACACACGGCTCTGAATAAATCCAAACTGACACTAAAAGGAAGAAAAATTATACGGTCGACATAAGTGAATTTAAAAACATTTTTGTATATCACTCCTTAGTTTCGAAACATTTTTAGATTAATATCTTTATTTTTCCCTTTAAAATTTGACATTTTAATTGACCCTTCGAACAATATTGCAATTGGCAATTCGTAATTTCCTGGCAAATCCGATAAAACAATCTTTTTGTTTATGTTTATGTCAAACACATTTATTAACAAAAAAGTAATTTGAATGGTAATGTGTAAATATCATGTCTACATCTATAAAAAGATGGATAGTTATAGCATGACGACTGTACATACTAAAACAATGATGTTTCGAACTTCCTGTAGATTCATTTAGGTAGATATGACACGTTAGTTTGCTTGAAACATCGTGAAAAAAATATTGGAAGAAAATAATGGCGAAGAGAATCAATCATTCAGGTAAAATAATTATTAGTCGTTGCTCATTAATTTATGGGTAGATTATAACACAAAATATGAGTTGTAAACACTAGAACTAGAACTTTGATCAGTAGCGGCTGGTGGTAATTTAATAAGGGTGTTAATAATTTTTTTAGAAGAAAAATCTAATTTAAACAATGTTTTATATAAAATTAATAACTCGAATAATACAGTGCAAGAAAAACACGTCAAATTTAAATTATATTACTTGTTTTACAATTTACACTAAATAAATAAAGCTGGATACATTATCTCTACATCTTGTGCTTGCCCTTTTTGGAAATTTTAATTCATCAGTTTTAGCTTGTAAATGGAATGTATCCTCCATAAATAATTGTATCACCAAAACAGCAGAAGAATTATATTCCCCAAAACCATACGAAGCCATCGAAGAACTATTATAAAATATAATAGTTTTCAGAATGTTCTCCTAATTATAATTATTAGTAAGGTAAAATCAAATATTACCCGTATTCAAACCATAAAACTAATTTTGTCAATGATTGACTAAAATGGTCTGTGAGTACGGAAACAAAAGAATTGTGAAGGTGCGTTCATATTACACATAAGTTAATGAGATAGACACCATCACTAAAATTATATGCGACTTTTAGTAGAACTAATAAAATCAAATGTACAGATTATGTAAGAATGAATACTATTTTTTTATTTGTAAATACATTATTGTTGGATTTTTATTTCCTCAACCATTTTGAAAAAAATTGAACTTGTTAACTGTTAATAGTTTAGGACTATTGTGTCTTGACAAAGGTTATGATATATGATTTATAACAATACATTTTTTAAATCAATTTTTTTATTATTATTTAATTTGAATTGTTAATAATTTTTGTGCATTGTGATCTATTACATAAAAAGGATGTGTTAGCAATAGTGTAGGTATAATTGTAGTAAAGAAGAATAAATTGAGACCCAGAATTAATACCAAGATACGATGTCAAAATTTTACTTGAAAATCAATAATGCCAATGTCTATATGTATACCTATATTAGCCTCAACTTATTTTCCTGTTACCTTCAATATACACATAAATTCTTCTGATAGGTATTGTTTAAAAAAAACAAAGCTACTCATTCATAACCAATAGAGTAGTAGAATAGATGAGTAGAAGATGCTCATCAAATTTATATAAATAATTAACATATAAATACAACTCAAATACTGAATTAATTGCATAATAACACACCTTAAAAGTGAAAATTAACGAAGAGCATCGATTACAAACATAATCTAAAAACAGCAGCGTATCTAAGGAGAGGAAATTGGAAATATTCGACTTCAAAATACAAAATCAGTTATTATAGTAAATATACATTGAAGATAATTTTATAAAAAAAAAATTAAAGTTGTTAAGCTTTAAAATTTTCAAGGAAGAAATGTGTATAGATTATAGGAAAAAAATGTAGAGGAAGTAGACGAAGAAGTAGAAGCAGAAGTAGAGGAAGCAGAAGAAAAAGTAGAAGAATTAGAAGAAAAAAGTAGAAAAAGAAGTAGAAGAAGAAGTAGTAGGAGAAGAAATAGAAAAAGAGGTAGAAGAAAAAGTGAAAAAAATAGAAAAAGAAGTAGAAGTAAAAGTAGTATAAGAAGAAGAAGTGGAAGAAAAAGAAGTGGAGGAAAAAGAACAAAAAGAATAAGAAGTGGAGGAAGAAGAACAAGAAGAAATAGAAGAAGAAAAAATAGAAAGATGCTTATTAAAATCTAAATAGGGTTTACTTGATTTTATGAAATTAAAAAAATAAAATAATAAAAATAGTAAAAAATTTAAAACAAATCTGATGTGTCCAACACATGACTTTCCTATCTAGTTATTATAGGCTTTTTCCGGTTATTTTGTACAACCTATTGCAACACCTCTATAAATGTTTAGAGGATAAACTAAATATATACATTTTCCACATATATCTACCTCGAAACATTTTTCTATAGATATTCATTGAAAACGAAAATACAGAAAAATTTAAATTTAGCACTTTTCCTACAATTTTTCCATTACGGTCCATTTTAGAAAAATCATGTATAAACAAAAATTATAGAGATCGATATCGCAAACAACTATTAGTTTAACAATTTTCATAAAAATCAGAATTTTTGCACATTTTGTCAAATTTCTCGAATACGAACCATTTCAGGAAATTTTGACATAAAACAAAAATTATAGATAATAATATTAGAAACAACTTTTATTTAAACAATTTTTTTCTCCAAACATAAATAACAGATATATTCCGTAAAATATAAAAACGGCCTCCCATAAAGAACCCCCAGATGTTCCGACTTTGTCCAAAATATAATAATTTCACGTCAGGCCGAAATAAAACTTAAGTTTAAAATTTAATGTTTTTTTATTTATCCGTTTTTGAGTTTTCTTCAAATTTCGAAATTTACACATTTTCTCAAATATCTGGAATACGGTCCATTTTAGAGAAATTATGTATATGATAGAAATTATAGAGAATTATATTACAAACAACTTTTATATGAAATATTATTTTCATTTCTTTACGCTACAAAATGGAGACAAGATCATGAATCTATTGCGATAGAAGAATTTAAAAATAAATATGGAAAAACGGTACAAGAATGAAAATTATTTATTTTTGAAAAACTTCCATACTTGGGAGCAAGTCCAGATGGAATTATTAATAATAATAATAATAATAATAATAATGAAATAATTGTACTTAAATGTCCCCAAAAATACCCGAAAACCCCCATAAAACCTATAAAAAAACCCGTCGGGATGGGCTTTTTTTTAAAAAAAACCCGGGTTTTTTCCAACCCTGGTACTATTAACTGATTCTTTATCAAAGATAAAGAATTGAATAAATTTTTGAAATGTATTAAAATTAAATAAAAAAAAAAATAAGATGAAAAAATCACATACATTTCTACCGAACCACCTATTTGAGAAATACTGTTAAAAAACTCACACACTTTCCGTCTTAATGATCCGATTTTGGTTATTTTATTTTTATACCTAATTTTCTTTCTTTAGTGGCTTCCGAGGACACCACATTTAAATCCTAACGATTTTTTCGTTTACCTTTGAATTTAAAAAAAAAATAATGTTTACCAAGATGCTTAATTTGATGACTTCTACTCACAAATAAAGAAATATCAATTTAGAAATGTTATAGACATGCCAATAAACTTTTTGATATTAAATTTGAATAAAAAAATGCAGTTAAATTGGTTTTTAGTTTCATATAAATCTTTAAGAACTTTTTAAGGACGAATTTAAGTGTTTCTCTTGATAATTATTACTTTTTAAAATATTTACACTCTTATTACAGCTTATAAATGTTTACGGGGCTATACTTTAAGTATTTTCTTACAAAAAAAGTACTGGACAATGTTCAACCAGAATTCTTTTTATTTAAAAAAAAAAATAGTAACACAAATAAATATTTTTAACTTGGTGAGACATTTAAATCACAATTGTATTCAAACCCATCACATAAATTAAAATCATTCTTTTTTAAGTAAATGAATAACTATCTACAGCACTGTTTAAGTAATCTAAAACACGGTGAATGATCTGACATAACAATTGAACTATTTCAAGGCAGAAGTACTAGTCTGAGTACTATGCATCTTCAGCGAGAAGGCGCCGAAAGAAAAGAGAGAGGGGACCGGGGGGAAACCAAGATGATCTGGTAGGGTGAAATTATTTTTCAAGAGTGATGGTTTTGATGCAAGGTTTTGGGATGAAAGTGAAATATTTTTTGTATGTTCACCCACTATTCGTTAGATTTGTACTATAAAAGCTTCTGTGGTAGCAAACTCAATCAGATCATCCCAATTTCTCGACGATACAGTTTGATATAATTTAGTTTTTGAATTGTTTATATAGTGGTGGTTTTTTTATTATTCTGTTAGGTACGAAAGTAGAGCAAATATGAAGGTAGGAACTATTTTTATATACCTATAATTTGTGATCTTAAAGTTTTTGAAACTTTATTTTTTTTTAAATTAACTGTTCAAATCAAGAAAAGAGATTAAAATTACTGCATAAAATTTATAAAAATTATAGTTTAAGGTTAGGAAATATTATACTAAAATTTCCAAACCATTTATTTATTTTTGAATAGATACAAAAAATTTCAAAATATTATTTTTGTTTAAATATGTTAAAAGAAAATTTTTACTATTATTTCTATTTGACACATAATAGAGAATTTTTTTTTTACTCATCAGATTTGCTATCATTTTTAATAGTATTTCACGTATTTGTAAATTTTATTTTTGACTTTTTTTACAAAAAAATGTGTCTGATTTTTTTTTTTTTTTAAATACAATTATTAACAATTTGAAAATATAAAATTAGAATGGCAGACTTCCAATGATTATATTTTAAAATTTTGTGGTTTCTCAAATTAGTTGAAAATACAATTTATATTCCGAAAATCAACTGAAAAAGTACTCAAATTAATTATTGAAAATAAAATAAATTTATCACACTGATTACTGCAATCTAATTTAAATGATATTAATTAATTTTTAAATTCATTCATGTCATAACCTGTAACATGTTTGTAGTTATTCTGTACAAATATTGATGCCAATTGATATACAGGGTGTTTCAAAAAGGTACCTCTTTTATTTATATTTTTGTATTCAAGAAGGAGGGGGACGTATCTGAATGTTTTTTTAACACCCTGTAACTTTGTTGGGAGCCAGTTTTTGATATAGGTAAAAATATCCAAATGATAATTTATCTGAGGATGAATTTATGACATACCTTTTTGAAACACCCTGTATAATAACTACATGAGTTTGATTTTGCCTTAAAATAATCAGATTTAATAAAAGTAACTAAATTTTAGTAATATTTTAGTTCAACGGTATCGGCACCAGAGTTTAGTGAATTTTAGTGGTCTCTTCTTTAGATACCTATTCAGTGGTCTCTTCCTTAGATATTATTCAGCTAACGAATAAAGGCTGCGAATACCATGTAAAAAGGAGTAAGCTTTCATGTGGCATTTTAGTATTTTGCTATTTAGGTACATCCCCGAGCTCTATATATATTTCTTAATATTCATGCTTCCTTTTTCCATGCATAAGACATTCTTTGACATATCGTCGGGTTACTGCCAAAACAAGATAAGTTACATTTTTATAGTTTTGGGTTTATGTTTAAAACTTTAACATTTGAGAAAAAATCAGGTATAAAAACTCTGTTTTTACTTAAGAAGTGCATTTTAATACAATTGGATAATAAACTAGAAAAATTTATCATAAAACTTAAAAATTACCACAGTATTTTTCAGAAAAAAACACTTTTTTATGCACTTGCCTCCTTTTAGATATATATAAGTACCTGTTTTTGTTTTAAAAGTAAGTTCTTCTATATCAGAATCTTTAGCTGCTGGCTCTGGAACTAAATCTTCTACCTCTTTTGAGGTTGTCAAGAATTTGTAATATTAATGGTATTCTGCAGGGATAACATATTTTTTACACAAACGCACTTGTCTTGTTTTAGATGCCAATATAACTATTTGGTTCTGTCAGTAGATTCTTTAGACAGTTTTAACTTAACTCAAAAATGAAATGTTTTGACAATTCAGTTGTTATTTTTTATTTTTTATTTTTTATTTTTTCAATATCGTAAAAAACGAATTCCATATCTGCTACTAAGCAAACTTCTTTTTGTAGAAACTGTTATGAACAGATATTTGAAGATATTTATCTGCAAATTGCTTCGCCCATAAATTAATATCCAACGCTATAAATGTTGTGATAAAATGATATAAATTTGTAATTATGTAACGTGGAATGTAAGTAGTGATTACTTTTCGTGGTATCACGTTTTGTAAGTCGATCTTCCTACAGTAAATAAGAAATTATATCGTTATGTAAACATACTAGTATGCATAAGTGAAACAAATTTTTACAGGCGCCTACTGGAATGGTGTATTTAAAGGAAGTAAATGATTATTACCCGGATTGCCTACTTAGAACTGCAAATAAATTGTAAGCAGATTATTACATTTGCATTTTTTCGAAAAAGTTTGTGGGTTGGTGCAAAATATGTATCTTTACATTGAAAGCACATTTTTTATATTTAATTTAAAGGCCAAGAGTGGGTCACTGAAAACCGACCACCTCATTTTTTGGCAGTATTTATAATTAAAAAAAATACTGAAACATAAGACATATTTTTCCAATATAGACTTTTATGGATCTACCACTTTCTCAACCCCTAAAAATTAAATAAGAATTCTGATACATCATTGGAAATGCAGTTCTATAGAAAATTCAGCAAAATGACTAGATTGCGTTAGTGTTTGATTTTAGCGCACTCTAGCGAGTTAAAAATTTGTTACGTATTGAAAAGTGTAACAATTTATATAAAAATTAATTTTATTAGTAATTTAATGCACGGTTTTTAAATAAGCACAATTAAAATTGTCATTTGGTGAATTTTAGAGTTTGGCAGCTGGATTGGAAGCATCAAGATAAATTAATGTAGAGAAGACATAAACACTATTTTGCGTTATGACAAGTGATCGTACCTTGAGTCGTATGTTTGTTGAATTTAAAAGAAAGCTTTGTTTAATATGGACTGTATTTTCTATACAATACAACATTATAACTGTGAAGCAGTGGCGTAACCAGGAACAATTAAATTTACAAACAATTAAACGAAAAAAAAAAAAAACAAAGAATATAAAAACTCTACAATGTTTTATATTAACTGTACAGTACAATAACAGCGTTTTGCTGCAGATACGTTTTCTGTACAATATCAAATGCTGGACAGACTTTGAAAATGCTGGACAGACTTTGAAAATGCTGTACAATATAGTGAAATTCTGTACTGATGGTCACCCTAAGACAGGACAGGACTGGTCAGAAGAAGCACAAATTTATCTATTTAAGTAGCCTTTATAACATACCCAGGCAACACACTAAATCTCAGAGATATCTACAGAATATCTTTTGTGGATATCCAATAATACATCTACAGGATATTTTAGATATCCCGTGGATCTAATATAGATATCCAAATGTCCGTCTATAACCAGCATATACAAGATATCCTATGGATATCCAGCAAAATATCTAATGGGCATCTCCCAGACAATACAAGAAATCCCAGAGATATTCACAGAATATCTTCTGTGGATATCCAATATATCCACAGGATATCATACATATCCAGTGGATCTAATATGGATATCCAAATGTCCGTCTATATCCAAGATATAGAAGATATTCTATGGATATCCAGCAAAATATCTAATGTGTACCTTTACTAGAGGTTCATAAGTAACCAATTGATATCGTATTAACTATTTTATTTATTTATTTATTTATTTATTTATTTATTTATTTATTTATTTATTTATTTATTTATTTATTTATTTATTTATTTATTTATTTATTTATTTATTTATTTATTTATTTATTTATTTATTTATTTATTTATTTATTTATTTATTTATTTATTTATTTATTTATTTATTTATTTATTTATTTATTTATTTATTTATTTATTTATTTATTTATTTATTTATTTATTTATTTATTTATTTATTTATTTATTTATTTATTTATTTATTTATTTATTTATTTATTTATTTATTTATTTATTTATTTATTTATTTATTTATTTATTTATTTATTTATTTATTTATTTATTTATTTATTTATTTATTTATTTATTTATTTATTTATTTATTTATTTATTTATTTATTTATTTATTTATTTATTTATTTATTTATTTATTTATTTATTTATTTATTTATTTATTTATTTATTTATTTATTTATTTATTTATTTATTTATTTATTTATTTATTTATTTATTTATTTATTTATTTATTTATTTATTTATTTATTTATTTATTTATTTATTTATTTATTTATTTATTTATTTATTTATTTAACTAAAGTCTATCAACCTTTTACACTAATAAATTTTGGTTTTAAAGCTTACTAACCTCCTTTTAATCCAAAATTGTCAAATAAAACTCATGCACACTACACAAACAAAACAAAAACAAACGAAAAAATGGTCGATGGCACCTGTGAGGGCAGAAAATATCTGCGCCTGTACTCGCGTTCATTGCCAATATTATTTATCTAGCGGATATCTGTGAGATATTGTATACAACTTACTAATTTTATATTTCTATAAACCATACCTACATACTTTCTTAGTTATTACATATGGACATTTGCATGTCTATAAATTACATCTCATGGCTATAAAATGGATATCCACCATGGACTGGACATTCAGTGGATATTGGGATGTCCAGTAGATATCCAAAGGATTTGGTGTGCTGTCTGGGTACATCTTTTTTCTTTTTTACAAGTTTCTTTACTGAACTGTTATAAAGGTTTCTTAAAAAAAATTAATCTGCCAGATAAAAAAACGGAGAAGATACTTTATTCAAATTAAATGAAAAATTCAACAATTAGCATAGAAAGAGACAATAATGATGTATAAGTAAACTAACAAACCGTTCAAAACCGAAAAAGTGCTTCAAAATTGAACAAAAAAATATGAAATTATTACCAAAAACAAAAAAGATATTTCAATTTTGACACCCTGCAACTTTTCAAAAGTTAGTTTTATCCAGGAACGTAAAAATTACATTTTAAGTTATCTGGGAGATAAAAATTACCTGACACTTTATCTGAAAGTGAAAAGAAAGAAAATCATTTTCTTTTAGTTTAGTAAGACGAGTAATATTTTCGTTTGTTAAGAATGTTAGAACAAAGCAGATTTTGTAACCTTTTTTGTAAGTACAGTCAGCAAAATTAAATAAGCAGTCGTTCTGAACATTCAAGCGCTAGGCGACCTCGACCAAGGAGCCACTTGAAAGATTCTTACTAGATACGGTTACAGTAGAATAAGATTTCAAACTTCCGCTGATAGAATGAAATGTAATAGATTTAATTTGTCATTTTTTAATGATCAAATCTATTAAAAATATAAAAATATATATAGACGGGTATTATCTGGTAGGCTAAATAAATAATGACCTAAGATGGACACGTCAAAATGATACTAAACTTAAAATTAAGTCCAAAAACAAACGTCCTCTGGGCAGTGATATGCAGCTGTCAAATTAATGATCATAAACGGACGTACACTGGCCCTCAAATGGATCTAAAGTGGACGTCCATTGGATTATGTGTGTTGTCTGGGTAGTATTACCTCGTTTATTTTATGGCAATGTAATCAGGGATGTAGTTTCTAGGACTTTAACTATCCATTCTGTCATCCTGATTTGACGTTTAAAGATTTTGGTGATCACGTTGCATCCTTACTAGTTATTTTGCCGTACTCTTTGATTCTTCATTCATATTAAAGGACTGTATGAACCCAACACCTATTAATTCGGTATTTACGATTTTACATCTAAAAATATACCAGTTATTATACTTTATTATAAATATATTTATATTATTGCCTTCTTCTCTTAAAATTAGTAGGTACTTCATTGAAAACCTAATACAATACGATTTATTTCATCAGATTATGCTTCTGATTAAGAATGAGGTGTAAAAAGATGACGGAAAAGTAAAAGATCAACGGATAGTCTCAAGAAGGCACGAGCTTTAGAAGATAAATTGTTATAAAATTACCGTTCAATCTGATAATTGCCTTCGCGAATTATCTTTGATTTTATTATCTTTATAATCAAAGACGATTTTAAATTTTGCATTACACACACCAAAGAATGCACTTTTGCATAACCAGTACCAAATATAGACGTCTTAAATGAGAACATTGGTAATTTAATAACCGTTGCAAATTTATAATAGGAGCAATTACGGCAGAAGACGATCGCGAGCCATTGCCGATAGCTAGGCAAACCCACATTTTTTTATTCGTGTTTATTTAGAACGTTTTTAAATAAGATTAAGGCTGGAATGCGTCAATGAAAAAATACCTTATACAAATTGTTTTGTTTTTAAATTTAATAGCTGTAAGAAAAACTATTAAAAATATTTGAAGGACAACTTAAATTACGATAAATATATTAAATTATTCATGTTTTTACTCCAAAAATGTGTTTCTATCAACTAAGTTAACTGCATATTAGCGATATACTCTGGAATTATAACAAATTTGAATTTTGTGTGGTCATAAACAAAAAATATAGTCATAAAGTTCAGAGCCGTTCATTTTTTCTGCAATATGTTTTGCTTCTTCTAAAATCTCAGCAAAACCTTTATTTTACCTATTATTACATATTACTAATTCTTCTTTATCAAGTTTTATTTTCTGTACTTGGATAATATTGTTAAAAGAATTTAAGAAGCAAAAAATTTTTTTAAATTGTCTGTAGATTATAAAATCAGGATTTTACTGTCTCTATATCAGGTGTTCCATTATATTTTGAATCTTTCTATAACCCTGTTACTTTTAAACTAGTTAAAATAATCAGGTGTTCCATTATATTTTGAATCTTTCTATAACCCTGTTACTTTTAAACTAGTTAAAATAACGAAATGCAGTTTTCACCAGTCTTATTTTAATTTTTATAAGTTTTTCTCTGTGTACTCATCGTTTTTTACTCACTGTTTGGCTTAAGCAGAAATTACATTCTGTATTTTCGGATATAGGGCAACTGTTATTTCGCTTTTTTTTTTCTCAATTCAATAGCCCACTGTTTTCTTTTTCCATAATGCCTTACTTTTATAATTTTTAAAAGGATAATGGTTTTATAGGCTCTTAAAAATAAATACTGCATGTTAGATCGAGTTTCGTATGTACATTTTGAAAAATATCAATATGTTCATGACAGTATTTATTTTAAAAGCTAATAAAATCATAACCTAGTATCATCCTACAAAGCAATGACACTTGTAGAAAAATATACAAGGTATTGTATTTGAAACAACATAGTTGTTTTATCCCTAAAAATATAAAATGTCATATTCGATTAGTTTGGAAGTTAGCCAAAAAATAGATGAAAACACAGAAAATAAATATAAAAATTAACTAGTTCAAAAGTTACATAGGTTTAAAAAATGTTAAACTTGGCAAACAAGAAAATTAACAGTAATCATTTTACATTTTCTATTCAAATTTTAAAACTAATTCATAAAATTCTTCACATTTCAGATAGCTTTAATAACGTTAACAGCTTTCGCGTTGGTATTAGCCGAACCTCCAGTACCCAACAGTCAGTACCTGCCCTCTAACACTTATGGAGCCCCAAGGCCGTCTACTCCAGCGAGTACGTATGGAGCACCAGCGCAAACGGAAGCGATTTTAAGACCAAGCAGTAGTTACGGTCCTCCAAGCAATACCTATGGTCCTCCAAGTAACACGTACGGTCCACCAAGCAACGCTTACGGACCTCCCGGTGGTGGATATCCAGGTGGAAGAGGAGGAGATGATCAATCCGTGAGTCTATTAAGTTTTGTCTTTCGGAAAAATGCAATTTGAATTAGACCATTTTTTATCAGAAGTTCAATATTCATTGGAGATAATATTTTCGACCTTAAATCTGTATTTTTAGACAGTTGTACAGTCTTACTATCAAAAACGTCATCAGCTTCGATAAGAGTTACAATTTCCTCAACTAAACATATATGTTGATGGTCCTTTATTGACATCAATATCATTTTATACCAAAGCCTTTGAAGTAGAAGCAATGGGTTCTTTAAAAAACTGTGTAATTTTCTTGTTGGTGTTTTCCAAAACCTCCTATCGTTACCTATCTTACATTTGTATTTATTCTTTCCAAGCTTGCGCCTAGCACTTTTGGCACCCTAGTGCAAATTTAAAATAACGCCCCAAATTTGTTTTTTTTACTTTTGAGGCTTTTCTTTAATATTAAACGTAATAATATTCATTATGTAGCACCAACTTTAATTTATACGTATTTATCAACCTTTAGGAACCAGCTAACTATCAATTCTCCTACCACGTAGACGATCCTCCATCAGGAAACGATTTTGGACACGAAGAACAAAGGCAAGGTGATGTAGCCAAAGGAAAATATTTCGTTCTCTTGCCCGACGGTCGTCTTCAGACTGTAGAGTACACAGCTGATTCTGACGGTTACAAACCAAAAATTACCTACGAACAGGTTGGTGGATATCCATCTGGAGGACCAGGAGGGTATCCATCAGGAGGGCCAACAGGGTATCCCGCAGCTAATGGAGGTGGAAATGGAGGTTATCAATATTAGACTCCTTAGTTAGGTTGGAATGTTTAGAATTGTATGCTTGTACTTGGTATAGTTCGTGTTTTTGAGTCATCAATAACGAATGGCTATGGCTCCATAATATACTTTACTTTTCTTTTCACTTTCTTGCATTCTTTTTTGTACATAGTTTTTCATTTCATACAAATGGCAACTTTTAATATGTACTTTACATAAATAATCTTATTCTATAAAAAAATTTCGTACTTTACTTTATAATTAGATATTTTTTTTACATATTCTTTATAGTAACAAAGATCTCAGAGCAGTTCTCTAAATATTTATAAGTAAATTTATAAAGTAAATATGTGGTCCTATAAATAATTACAAAGTTTTACTTTCTCAAAGCTTTTATATAATTTGCAAACAATATTGAATTCGTTTTAGGTAGAATCAATTTGTAAATGAATACATTATAAAAAGTTGCCTGAAATATTTTCCCCCCTTTTTAAATTTATTACTTTTTCTGCATATTTACTTTTAATGCACCTTTAACAATTATTATTATAATTATTTTGTAATTTAAATGAGATTCTTATATTATGAGTAGTTAATAAGTAATTTTACGAACAGAGTTACCAAGCATTTGTACCTAAAAATTAAACTGACTAAGTCTAGCTAAGAGATACTATAGCTTTAATATTTTGTATTATAAGTAGGTAGTCTGTAAGTGAACGTGAGAAAGGTCAGTAATAAAATATATGAAAAGGCCCGATATATGGTTGACGTATTATTGTGTATGAAATCAGATTTATAGCTGGTATTGTACATATATTTTTATATTTATTTTGCCATATCAATAATTGTAGTTTATAGGAGATGAAGAATTATATTTTTATAATTAAAAAAAAATGAATACAAATAAATAATTTTTTGCAAGGATTTTTTTGTTTTATTTAATAAAAGTAATTTATACTTTCGAGTTTTCGACAGATTTTTGCGCTTTAGGGTCCCTACTATCCTTTTGACTATTTTCGCGATGATGTCTGCGTGTGTCTGTGTGTTTTTGTCTGTATACTCGATAACTCATGAACGAATACAAAAAAAAACACTAAATTTTAAACTTAAGCTTTATTCCGGCCTGCGGTGAACAGATTAAATTTTGTGCAGAGTCGGAACATCTGGGGGTACTTTATACAGGGTTGTTTTTATATTTTATGGAATATATCTGTTATTTACGTTTAGAGAAGAAACTTTTTTAAATAAAAATTACTTATAATTTTATTCTCTATAATTTGAGTTTCCCAACTTCAGCTCGAACAGGTCTGAATACGCCACTGATGAAGGTGAAAAACGCATAACCAAAAAAAACTAAAGAGTGTGAAAATGCCCAGTGACGTAGTTTAAAGAACGTTAAAATTTCACTCCATAATACCTCTCAAGACAAAAATAAAATATGCTTAATCTGTCTTGCTATAGAAGTCCCTAAAATCAACCCAGAAAGCTAGAACGCTATTACCCCAACTACATGCGGGAGCCACTGTCAAAGCTACTAAGTCTAATAAAAAAGACCAGGCTAGACGACATACTCTAAAGCAAACGGAGTCCCACAATAGATCTGAAAAGGTCGCGGTGGACAAGGACAAATAACGTCCAACTCCTAATCTAATCTAATCTACCCCAAACCCCCTCCTTTGTCACAATTTTTTTTCTTTTTCCTCCGCCACTTTAAGTTGCATAAACATCGCAACAAAATAACTTTGCACAAATCAACCTTCCTTCAATTTCCACCCTTCAACCAATTAACTCCAAATAGTCGAGGACTTACTAGATAGTTAGAGCCAAAAAGACTAGAAAACCAGGCAAGAAATTCTACGAATGTTAGAGAATGATCCCAACAACCAAAATAACTTTGAAGTACAATTTTGTGGCAAATTTTTTTTGAATTGAACCTATATATAATTTTAAGAGCAAAATAATACACAATTAACAGATTTTTTATTGTTGTAATACAAGTATAAAGGGAAATTTCAGAATATACATGGTATTACCTCATCTTTTAATTGCAGCTTTCCTCGTTTTATTTTGCTAACAGTACCATCAGTAAAAATAGTCTCATAATATTTGATAATATCTTCTAAAAAGTATACAACAGCACCATCTCTAGAAAGTGCTTTATCGCTAAAATTTTATATTATAGAAATGAACTACACTCCGTAAGATACATATTGTGACTAGTTTACAATAAATATTATATTTAGACATGAATACCTTATTTTACTTACATTAAAAGCTTTAAAAAGAAATTGAATTACATTATTTTGATTCCTTTTACCAATTTTTTAAAAAAAATCACTTCATTTTTCATTGACTTACATAGAAAATGGACACCGCTGCTATTTGACATGCCAACTATAGTCAATTTCGCGAACTTTATAAAAAGAAGGAAGAAAATTTGAAATTTGTCCATTGCCGATTCGCCTTCTTCGCTCTAGTCTTCATATGAATTAAATTATACATATTACAGGGTGTCCCAATGAAAAGTAGCCCATTTCCATTTGATAAAATTTGTGAATTTAAAAGAGGAGATTTTATAGGAGATAGTATAGGTAATAAATAATTTATGTATCACTGAAGCAAAACTTATAGCAAAATAACACATAGCAAAAATCGCACGTTTCTACGATTTGTTTAAAAGTTATAAGCTCTGGAAATGGGCTACTTTTCATTGGGACACCCTGTATTATAATATACAAGCTCTAACACAAATGGTAGTAGCCTAGCAGATTAATTATAAATTCAGAATAAAATAATTAAGTTTGAATTAAAAATCTATTTGCCGGTAAATTTACCATTTCAATTCTTTATACTAAATTAGGTTTGGTTCTAATTCTAGACTAATAAATTATCGTTTTAGAGAGTTTTTAATCATAACCTTCACCAATATATGTTTAAAGTGGCTAATCGTCTTTACTATTATTTTGGTAGTTATAATTACCCCTAAACTACCGTACTATAAAATCAATACTGATGAAGATGTATTACTGGTTGCATACCATACATACAGAAAATTATTTATTAGGAACTTACGATTTTATACTCCGAGCAATTTCTTTAACAAACGATAAGAGGAAGATAGATATATAGTTTATTTTTTTAGGAACAAACAAGGAACAAATCGCCGTCGAATTCTGACATTGACACTAATGACATTGACAGACCGATCAAAAATCAAAACCAATGACATTGGTGAAAGCAAGTAGAATTTTGCTTTTTGTCGTCAGAAGTTATAAATAAATTAACACTGAATTGATATTTACAGCATCTTTTCAATTAAAATGCGTAATTAAGTGAAACAAAGTGTAAGGTACGTTATTGCATGGCCAAAAAAGTAATTGCTCAAGAATAACCATTGTCATTGCCTTGAATGACTATAGTGTCAAATGAATAATGGAACGTTAATAGTTTTTGGAGATTAATGCAAAAAGTCGTGTTTGATCATTTCAACTAACTTAACATTCTCAAATTTATCAAAGGATGTAAACACTATTGCTTACAGATTGTATTTCACCAACAGTGCGACATGTTTTTCACAAAGTTTGATAAGACTGATAACTTCATCCTGTTTCTTTTGTACAGCATGCTCGTTTTCTTTGATTTAAACAGTTTGTACCCGCATGTGTAGTGTAGATTTTATATTATTTGGTGAATTAAGCATTTGAAAATTATTGCCACCATGCAGTCCTGTGTTGGAGTGGATACTTCGAGTATGGGCTCTGTTTGGAAGAGACTCCAGAGAGTCAACAAAAGGGCTGCCAAGTTCCAGTTTACTGTGTCTTATCATCAGCTGGCTGTGGACTTTACATCCAAATGGTAAGTTATTTAATACATTTAGGGCCAATCTTTTCACCTGAGTAAAGTTACACGTAAGTTTACTTGACAGATTAATGGACAATAGTCCTATAGTTTAAACAGCATGTAGTTACTTTCAACTTTACTCAGAGGTAAAAAGACTTGCCCTTAATTATATAAATACTTGAGTAGATCAATTGAATTTGAAAATAACAAAACAACAAACTTCTTGAAATCAAGTTTGTTTCATTAATCTCAAATTATTTTTATTTTAACGCCTTTATGTTAGTAGTTTTTTAGTTATTTTTATACATAAAGAGGGCAACTAGGCAGGACCTCGCAAGTCTCAAAATCTACTTTATTCTATACTTAATAGGACTAATATTTACCCATGTTTTGTTCAAAAATTGTAGAATTTTCAGTAGAAATGTTAGTTATGAGGTCCTGCTCTGTGGCCCTCTATAAGTGTTTTTATATTGAATATATTTTGAAAATGTTAACCCTACTTTTAAACTCACGATAGGTCAAATTTTGTCTATTCTTTTAACTTAACTAAAACTGTACCTAATTAATTTTTTCTACACCCACATGTATACACACAGCCTATAAAATGAAAGAGTATGCTAAAATGACAATTCAGTCAAACTGTCAGTATATTTTTTAGTTATTGAGATTAAATATACATTAAAATGAGTTATTCTTGTGTAAAATCGATAAACAATAACATTTCTATTTTTATTTTATCTATATTTACAAATAAATCATAAATTTTAATAAAACTACTTACATATATGAATTCAATTTAATTATGTGAAGATACTTAGCAAAAGAATAGTTTCAATGTTTATAGTAGCCCTTTCAATCCTATCTTCCCAATGAAGTGTAGGATTTGGAGTAAGCAAATCCTTTTCTTCTATTTGCTATGCTGCAAAATATAGTGTCCTTGGATTTTGTAATACTGCATATTCAGTCATTAATGAAGGTTTCATCCCCCTGCTTACATAAACTGCATTTACTATCTTTTACTAATCCAAGTCTAACATCAATAGTTATATTATTAAATATTGTTAGGGCAAGGAAAATTATTAAAAATGAATTGCTGTACTTTTGATACTAAATAATTGAATGATAAAATTTTTGTGCGACATGGCTACAGTGTAAGATGTAAAAGTGGCATTCTTAGCTTTAATTTGAGAGAATTTGTGAAATATTTTCATTTAAAAAATTAATTGTGTCATTATTAATTTACACAAAATTAAATTGTTTGTTTAGAATAGTGATACCTATAAGTACATATGTTTAGTTTCTTCATGAGTGAAAAGTGCTCAAACTAGACATTGAATAGTTTTTCTGCTGCTCAATTCTTTTTTAATCTCTCCTAATATTGTCAACAATATTTACTAATAATCCTTGTGATTTTCAACTTTGTTTTTAGAAACTATTTTCAAAACACATAAAATAAAAGGTGGTCTTTTCATTTATGCAATTTTATATAAAATGTATTACCTAATACTTTCAATTTAGACATCTGGAGAATTTATAAACATCAAGTGTACCTACTGATAAACATGTTTTATATATAAGGCATAGATAAGCCTGCCTTATTTACTTCAAGAATTCTTAATCAGACCAGTTAATTGGTTTATAATTTGAGTGGATAATTTCCACAAATTTATGATTATAAACAAAAACTATTTAAAGTAAAATCAAACTGATATTGTTTTTAAGTCAAAATATTCAAATTGCATATCAATAATGTTTAAGTAATATGAGTAATGTTTATTTATAACTTGAGTTAGCCTTTAAAAGTAACCAAGCAAAACTAAATCCATCTGAATAGGTATTATGATGGTACCTACATGTATTTAAAAGTGTCTGCTTCATTGGATAAAATAATAAAAATAAATGCATCTGTTAATAATGTTTGTCTGCCTATTAGAATCCTTATTTATCAATATTTATTAAAAATTGCAATGTTTTAATGTAAAAATATATTTATATTAAACAAAATAAATACCCAAACAAGTTAATTAAAGTTATGAAAGTTTCTTTTATTAATCTTCATTTCTAAATTTAATTATTCTATAGATTTATCAAATAATATTATTTCAATAAAGGTTTTATTTATATCCTTGATAAACTAAGTAGATAGGAGACATATGCAATATCAAACAATATTTTTCATAACAATGATGGAGATATATTTTTATTGTCTTGTCTAAAAAGTAAGAAAAATATGTAGGTAGAGATGTAAAATCTAATACACAATACATTCCAAATCCTAAACTACATGTAAATAATTCGAAATTATTTATAGCTGTATTTTTTTGTAGGTGTTTGGATTGAATAAAATACTGGTTAAAATGTTTCAATAATTATTTTAAAAATAGTATACATTGTTTGTTTGTTGATTTCGAATGACATATTAATACAATACCTTGATTTTTTCATACTCTATTAGATTTAGGTTAATAAGTTTTTTTAAGTGGCATTTTCAATACTTGTAGGTATGTACTAGTGATCATGGAATACCTAAAATTGCAAAAAAGTACCTAATTTACTATTGGGCAAGAAAATAATTTTCGAATATTTGATTTTGACTCCCACTGACAGGTTTACTTCAAATAAATCCTTAAGATTTGCATAGTAGGAGTTATAGAGCTATGGCAGATGTTTGATCCACTCTGTATATTTTTAATATTTAGATACTAATCACAAAATGAGTTCTAAAGTGTGGAAAATCAACATTATCATTTTTAAACACTTCCTAGTTTTCAATTCCCATGAATATGGCCTTTTTAATTTCGACGTGTTCAAATTAACCTGTCTGAGTATTTAATTACAGCTTAATTAGCTTATTCTTGTAATGTTGCAATGAATAACACTATTAATCAATTAGATAGCCAATTAAAATAAATAAATTAGTATCTGTATGTCACTTTTTAACAGAAAATCAAATAATTTAGTTAAAATTCAGGATGTGTGGCTGAAAGAGATAATGGCTTTGTAAAACACAGGAAGTAAGAAGAGATACATGGGGAATTTTGTATGTTTAATATTAAAAGGAAGTGCGTTTTGTAAGGAGACAATGACGCTATACAAATTATTGTTTATGTTTGGATATAAATCAAAACATTGAACTTGAACTGTAATAAATGAAAAAAATTGTGAATATTTCATCTGTAATTAGGTAGTTGTTACTGTTATCAATAAATAAAACATGATGGAATAATAGGAAAATAATATCAATTAATATACAGTGTGTCCAATTAAGTGAGAATCTTTTTTATTCTTAGTTTTATGAAAAAAAGTTATTCTTTATAAAAATTCTGCATGGTCCAAAACTAAAAATATAATTTTTAAACCGTAAAGGAAAAATCGCACAAACTTTTAGAGGTCATTTTCTTTTTTTTTATGACATTCTAAGGTATTCCACGACCTGAAATGTCATAATTAGTTTGGAAAATATTTTTATTTTTTTTAAGAAGAAGACCTCTCCAGGACATGGGTGCAGATAAACCATTCCTGAGCCCATATTATTTGAAATATGACCAACATATGTTGGAGAGCGGTTCAATAGAGTATAAAAGTTATAAAAAAAATATTTAGAAGCTCCTAATATCACCGAAGAGACTTGCAGTATTTTGGACCACAATTTTTTTTTATATAAACAAATGTCAAATTAAATCGGAAACTACATGCAACCGTCAACAAAAGAATCGATTCTTCACCGAAAAATCGTATAACAACAGGACATGGCAACCAGACGACATTTATAGTCCTAGCCATGTTCTATCCAAATTTTAAAATGGAAATAGGTTCTATATAAAAAAAAAATCATTGACCAAAACATGGCGCGATCATGTCAAATATTACCTCTCTAAAATTAATCATAACCTGTGTAGGCGAGGGGTAGCCAAATCTGCGGGAGGGGGGGAACCAAAAATATTTTTTCGTGGGGAGCAGCTTTAGCAACGGGTCGCGCGACGTGTAGCGGGGGTGCTACACGCGCGCGAGTAAAAAAAGCACAAAAAACGTTTCAAAAATTTATTGCGAATCAAAATACACACAAAAACGCCTGCAGCACGTCGAAATAGAACTCCTCGAAGTGGAATCCGGGCCCCAAAATCCTAAAAAAGAAAAAGAGATTTAGACCCGCGATTTTACGCACAAATCGTAGCACATACTGCATTAAACACGATTGAATAATAAAACACTCAAAATACCTCAAAAAGCCGAAAAAGGTGCGGCTAGAACCCAAAACAAGCGCCGGCCATTTTGAAAATCACCCGGCCACCAGAGTTGCCAACTCGCAAAAATATTTATCCCTAAAGCATAAGTCAACAACCCCTAAAATCGTTCCAATTACTTGGAAATCCCCCTAATTTTTTTTTAAATAATTAATTACATGTTTTAATATTTTTTGAGGGGGTGGGTGGTGTCTATAATTTTTAAATGTTTTTATTAGGAAACAGAAGAATCCAAAAACGAACTACATCTCTCTCCTATGACATTGACAATAATGACGTTGAATATTAAGAGTCAAAAATCCCTAAAAATATAAATCCCCTAAAAAATCCAATCCCATTTATTTACCCCCTAAATTTGGGGGGAAACCCCCCCAAGTTGGCAACTCTGCCGGTCACAGCAAAAACCAGGTTCCCCAAACTAGAAATTTCTAGCTGATACCAATATAAAAAAAACCCAAAAGGGAACCAAAAAAAGGCAAAATTTTTAATTTGACCTCTAATCCAAAAACTAACAATTTTCCCATAATCAGCGGGTCAAAATAGAGGTAGATTTGGTCAAAAAATATGAGTAAAGTACCTTTATTATTGACAAACCTTGTATACGTCTAATAAAATTTGATATCTGATTATTGTACTTTAGGTTTTAAACCAGGCTCGACTTTTTATGAATAATAACTTTTGTCCCAGTTTTTTTCCTAAAATTAATAATATTAATAATAAAAATTTGATGTGTCCAACTCATGACGTTCCTATCTAGTTTTACAGAGGATAAACTAAATATATACATTTTCCACATACTTTTTTTATATATATTCATTCCCATCGAAAATATTAAAAAAAAATAAAATTTTATACTGTTCCTTCAATTTTTCCATTACGGTCCATTTTAGAGAAATATGTATAAAACAAAAATTATAGAAATCGATATCGCAAACAACTTTTAGTTAAACAATTTTCTTAAAAATCAGAATTTTGCACATTTGATCAATTTTCTCGAATACGGACCATTTTAGAAAAATTTTGTATGGGGCAAAAATTATAGGAAATAATATTATAAGTAACTTTTATTTGAAGAATTTTCTTCTCCAAACGTAAATAACAGATATATGCCATTAAATATAAAAATGATCCGTATAAAGTACCCTCCCAGATGTTCCGACTCTGCCCAAAATCAAATCAGTTCACCGCAGGCTGGAATAATGCTTAAGTTTAAAATTTGGTGTTTTTCTTTGAATCCGTTCATGAGTTATCATGGATACAGACGCACAGACATCATCGCGAAAATAATCAAAACGGATTCAGGGGATTTAACGTAAAAAATTCGTCGAAAATTCTCGGTCGAAAAAATCATTCCTATACTTTTCTTATCCGTATACAGATAGGAAAGTAAAAAGTGTCTCATATGCCACCAAATTTGGCAGCATATGAAAAACTTTCTTATTATTAATATTAGGGAAAAAATTATTCTTCATAAAAAGTCGAGGCTGCTCTAAAACCTAAAATACAACTATAAGTTATCAAATTGTATTAGTCGTATACGAGGTTTGTCAAAAATAAAGGTTCTTATTCATATTTTTTGACAAACCTCGTATACGACTTAAAAAAAATAATATCTGATGGGTGCATTTTAAGTTTTGGACCATGTAGAGCTTTTTTTCATAAAACTAAGAATAAAAAGTTTCTCATATTGTTCCAACTTAATTGGGCACACTGTATGAATGCATTCATTATAATAATATATTTACATTTACTAAACATGATTCTCAATAATTTATTTGATGAAAAATAAATATTTCTTAGAATTGATGTTGATTAATGTACAAGGAAATTAACCCTGTAAACAAGTGTTTAGCAGATTATATTGTAAAACATAGTATAATGTAAATATTGTGATTGGACAATATTTTAACCTTGGTATGTCAATTTCTATTTATATATTTTTTAATTAATTGAATAAAGCTTCTGTATGTTTAATTTTTTGATAAAATTAAAACAATTTAAAGCTTTTAATTGAATTATTTATAAAAAAAATAAAAAGACTTTCAAATTTAAAAAGTTTAATTCAAAAATATCTCTTTTGACTAACTTCATGATATGGTTATGGTTTTTAATATACAGTGTGTATATTTAAGTTTTCTGCATTTGAAAAACTTATTAATAATTTTACAGAAAAATTATATTAATCTTAAATATTATTGTATTATTTAAAACCCAAAATACAACAATTTAGGCTGAGCTTTGATAGGACATGTCTATCATATCAATAAACTTTATTAAAAATAAAATGTTAATATTTTTGAAACCTATAAAATGAAATTGTATAATTATCTTCTCTTTATAACGATTTTTGATATTGTCAAAAATAAAAGTAGGTACGAAATTCATATTTTTTACTACCCTTGTATACGACTCGAAATAATTGATATATGATGGTTACATTTTAGGTTTTAGACTATGCAGAATTTATTTTTTCCATAAAATTTTTAAATACAAGTATTATGTCATTGATTACTTCTTGTTTAACAAAGGGAACCTCACAAATTATTACTGGTATGGTCGAGAAGATCAAGAAGAGTAACATCAGTGCCAATGACTTGGGAAAGGACTCTTCAAAATCCTTACAAAGGCTTAGTGGTGTGGCCTGTTCCTGACAACCATCAAGTTGCAGTTACACTGTTCAAAGATCCTAGAACAAATGAACTGGAAGATAAAGATTGGTCTTTTTTCATAGAAGATGTAAGTGGTTTTAGTCATTTATTATTTATTTTTGTTATTAAATATTTTTTTTTTATTTTTTGACTGGAGAACTGCGTCGTCTATTCGCCAAACCACATAGATTATATTGGATAATACGCTCGCGTACCTATAGATTTGCAAAATAATTTTAAGTACTTTAAAATAATAATAATTTTATACAATATTTACAAGTTACACAGGGTTTTTTTTACCTACAGATGCAACAATAATTTTATAACTTTCTGAAAACATCAATATTCTATAAATTTGCATATTTATTCATAATTATCAATTTTTTATTATCAAACGCTATTCCAATAAAACAATTTCTCAAAACCTGTCTGTGATGACCTAGAGATACTACATTTATAAACATCTGATAGATATTTTCTATGATTACCATTATGGAATTCCTTTACTCATCTAGTTTCAGTCTGAGGCAGGTTTGGAATAGTGATTATAGCTTACCATTCATACCATTTACAAATTTGTAACTATTAAATATTTCAGTTTCAATAATGAGTTGTTTTTCATGGAAATTTATAAAATATTCTAGGTAATTTTAGTAGTAGTCCAAAAATAAGTATTTAGGTGTACAAATTTTAATCAATGACCGATTATTTAATGTTTTATTCAATTAGGGAACTATACTTATTGAATAACATTCGTAATCACTTTTTTGCGCAATGTTTCAGTTTTAAAATTAGAAAGATAGATAATATTGTAAAAAAAAGACATTCAAAAATATATGTTTTAATTTTTATCCATCAACAATCTCTGAATTAATATATTTTTTTTGAAACATTTATTGAAACTTTATTACCACTCTTTGCTCCCAAACTTAAAATTTGGATGCGCCACTGATGTGCCAGAAATTTGTATCGAACAGACTCTAATCTAATGACTTAATTTAATTGCTACCTAAAATAAGTTGTATGTAATGTTTAAAACTATTTAAACGATTCCCCCTTGGAAATTATAACCGTCCCCGACTATGTTATCCGAAATTAACAAAAAATCTGGTAGTGATGAATCAGTAAAATAAGTCGTTCTCCTTTAATTATTCTTTTCAGGTGCCCCCAGCTGGAAAACGAAGACAACTGGCAGTTGCCCACGTCAATATGCGAAAATACGCCAGTGTTGAATCGACTCAAACTGAACTGCAAATTAATTTCAAACCGACTACCAAAAAAATAACCAGTGCTAAATTAGATTGCACCCTTTCTTGCGTGTTTCTTAGGGAAGGAAAAGCAACGTACGTTTTTTATTTTTTATTAATTTAATATCTATATTTATTTTAGTACAGCTACAAATTTTTTTATGATTTGATACAATTGTCTTTGACTTTTTTTCACATTTCTATAAATTTATCTAAATTCCCCCATAACTTCCACATTTTTTCATACAGTTCTTAGCAGTTTTCCCCACATTCCTCCACAATTTTCCCACAGAAATTCCTCAAAAATTGGAAAAAAAATTTAAAAAAAATCGTAAAAAAATTGTAAATAAAAAAAAATTAGAAAAAATAGAAAAACAAATTCAAAAATGTAAAAAATTAAAAAAATATTGGAAAAAAATTGTAAAAAGAATTTAAAAAATAAAAAGAATGGAAGAAAAATGTAAAAAATGGATTTTTTTTTTTAAAAATTGGAAAATGTAATAAATTTAAAATAATTAAAAAAATATTTGATCTTAAACAATCGTCGCATTATATAGCGAGGAAACTAATAATTTTAACTGTCTCTATAAATATGGCACAAATTTAAGGGAAAATTTGACAACTATATTTTATATTCAATCAAATGATCTTGTTTTGAACCGTTTTCATGACAACAAGAAAAAATTCCAGAACTTTTTCTCTTGAATGAAATTACACTGGAAATATTTTTATATTTGTCCCTCGTCTTTCATTATTTTCCATTTCCCCCCCAATTTTTAAATAAATTTCCCCAAATTCCCATATTTCCTCCACACTTTTCCCACAGAAATTCTTCTATAATTGGAAAAAAATTTAAAAAAAAATTGTAAATGAGAAATATTGGAAAAAAAACTCTGAAAAAATAAAAAATATATGAATAAAAAAACTACAAAAATGGAAAAAGAACATAAAAATAATTGGAAAAAAACATTAAAAAATTAAAAGAATCGAAAAAAATTGAAAATTGAAAATCGGAAAAAAGAAAAAAATTGTAAAAGATAGGAAAAAGTTGTAAAAAATGAAAGAAAATTCTAAAAAAATTGTTAAAAAAAATGGTAAAAATTTAAAAAAATATTTGTGGGTCGAAAAATTTTTCGGAAATTAAACTAGTGGTATTATAAGTGAATATTCCTTGAGTTCAGATAAGAAAAAAATTCCTATAATCATATACAGGGTGTGTCCCATTAGTGCGTAATTGTTTGATATTTCAATTTGTGTTATAGACACGTAAACATGTTCCAAATAAAAATTTTAAAATATTTTTAAATATATTAATTGATATATATATATATATATATATATATAAAAAATTCAAAAAATATTAATTGAAAAAAATAATAAAAAATTTAAAAAAAAATGGAAAATGAATATAAAAATACTTGGAAAAAATATAAAAATTTAAAAAAACTGGAAAAAGATTATTGTAAATGAAAAAAATGTAAAAACAAAAATAGAAAAACTGGAAAAAAAAGGAAAAGATAGGAGAAAAAAAGGAAAAAAACTGTAAAAAGTAAAAAAAAATGTAAAAAAATTAGTTGATATGGGAAAAGAAAATTGTTTTACAAGATATATTTTTAAAAATTTAAGATGTAACTTGAAATACAAGTTAAAAAAACTGACTAGTAAGCTTTTAGAGATACTTCTTGTTTTGTTTCACGTATTAACTCTAATTAGCAATATTTGTACATATAGAAAACTATATTGATTACCACTAGTTTTAGACCATAATTTTTGTACTATTGCGTTAGCGGAACGTTAAATTTCGTAGATTAATAGGTATAAACCTTAATAATAATATTCCAGCGATGAAGATATGCAATCGATGGCTTCTCTAATGTCCGTAAACAATAACAGTGACGATATTGCGGCTTTAGAAGATGTCGAAGATGATGACTTTTCTTTAAGCGATAACGCTTTGAAAAACAGTATGCACGAAGTTACTCAACATCTTCAGTTAATGACTAACAGTTTATCAGCCGGATCAGATTTCGCTAGTACTCCGATAAGTGGTAAGTTTGTGAAATATTTTATCGCCATAATGGAAACGAAAATTTATTTATTTATACGAATTTTTTATTATTTATTCAATAACATTAATAGTTAATAATACTTAATAATACTTAATAATACTTAATAATACTTAATAATACTTAATAATACTTAATAATACTTAATAATACTTAATAATACTTAATAATACTTAATAATACTTAATAATACTTAGTAATACTTAATAATACTTAATAATACTTAATAATACTTAATAATACTTAATAATACCTAATAATACTTAATAATACTTAATAATACTTAATAATACTTAATAATACTTAATAATACTTAATAATACTTAATAATACTTAATAATACTTAATAATACTTAATAATACTTAATAATACTTAATAATACTTAATAATACTTAATAATACTTAATAATACTTAATAATACTTAATAATACTTAATAATACTTTATACTTAATAATACTTAATACTTAATAATACTTAATACTTGATAATACTTAATAATACTTCTTCATATTTCACACATCTAGCTCGTAAATTATCATACATACTATGATAATTATACTGCCTGAAGAACCTAAGTTGATGGCCTTCTACTCGTAAAGTTTATAACAAAAAAATGCTTCTACCATTATTATTATTATTATTATTATTAGAAGAAGAAAAATGTTGAAAATAATTTTTTATCTTTGATCTTTTCTTAGTGATATAACGCAATTTCCGTTGCGGTATTAGCCAAGGGAGTAGTTATTTTCAGGTAGGAAAGCATCGCTCGACAGTCAACTTTGCTGTGACACAATCTTTGAGATTTTTTCCCTTTTCCTTCTATTTTATTATTATTATTATTATTATTAAATGGTTTTACAAGAAAAAAAATTAATTTTAGTTGCCAGTATTTTATCAGATGACAAAACGCCGACGGCCGAAACGTTTTCGCCTTTGAACGAGAAAGCCAAACTTCACGCGGTCCCTCCGCCAAAAGAGAGCGATTTCCTTACGAACGATAGCGATTTTTACTCCGAACAGTGCATGGAAACGTTAGATAATCTGGAACTCATCGTCGAAGAAAGTGAAAGCGAGGTTGCCAAACCGCAAACTGACAGTATAAAACCCAAAGTTGTAGATGTTAATGTAAAGAAGAATGTCAATTTACATTTGCAGCCTTTGGATTTGAAAGAACAGATTGAAACGCCAAAGAGTCAGCAGAAATTAAGTACACCAGGTAAAAATATTATTTTAAATTTTTATTACACAATCTCCTTGTTAAATCATTTTACTATAATAATTGAAAGGTTACAAAAGCCTTAAATGGAAATTCTTATACAAATATTGCTGCAAGAACGTCATAACACAAAAGCGTTCTTACAAGACGCTCATTTTCAATAATATCGGCACTTTTTGAGTAAAAGAAAAACTAAAATAAGATATATCGCTTATTTTCTGCAAGAACGCCATAACTCAAAAACGTTGTTTTCACAGGAAACTAATTTTCGAGAATACCATGAATTCTGAAATTCTTACATCAACAAAATTGAAAGGGTACGTTCTTTATGCAGAAACAACGACACTTTCGTAGTTATAGTGGTATTCGCCACCATCATTGACTCTTTTCAATTTTGAGTATACTAAATAAATGAAATAAACTTGATTATTTCGAATTGAAGTTTTTTTGAGTTGCGTCAGTATTTTCGTAAATAAGCGAGAGCTGATTTAATCGAGTAACGTATTATAGCAACCAATCGAGTCGAAATACAAAATAAAACACTGTTTTAGATATCCAAGTTCCTCAGCAACTGAAATAGGTCGATATTGAAACTATAGCATTCAGATTTAATACCAATTTAAGCAACATCTTAATGGCAATTATAGATAGTTCAAATTTGAAAATTTACCAGATAATATTGTTTTTTGCAGTCTTTAATGTACCAGTAACAATTTTTGACTTATGACGTTCTTTCAGTCTATGTTTATAAAAAAAAGTTTTGTTTCTAATTTTTTGTCGTAGAATCGGCTCTCGAAATATTTGCTCATATCTATCGGACAGTCTGTATATTTATAATAATTGGAATTAATTAATATAAATTATTTTCTAAACGCTTTAGGTCAAGATTTACTAGAATGGTGTAAGGAAATGACCAAAAATTATTCCGGTGTTAAAGTTACCAATTTGACCACTAGCTGGAGGAATGGGATGGCGTTTTTGTGCGTTAATACATCACTTTGAACCTGATCTAATGTGAGTAATTTGTTAAATATCATTCTTCTTCTCTAACAATTTGCGTTATTTAATATTCATATGAAATAAAATTCTAAATTTCCAGCATTTGATATTGTCATCTTTATTTCATCGCCATTTCCAAATCAATTAATCTATAGGTTTCAAAATTTAATACAATTATTTACAATTTTCTCTGTCCGTTTTACTATATTTTAGCTTGTTTTTGACGTCTCTCCCTTGAATTAAATTTTGATGTCTTTCTGAATCGATGTTCAAAGTACTTAATTTTATAGTAAATTTTCGTCTCTTTTCGATGGTACTTGTCTCAATTTTCTATCTCTCCCCGTTTTTGTATACGGGGCGTTTTACTATATTTTAGCTTGTTTTTGACGTCTCTCCCTTGAATTAAATTTTGATGTCTTTCTGAATCGATGTTCAAAGTACTTAATTTTATAGTAAATTTTCGTCTCTTTTCGATGGTACTTGTCTCAATTTTCTATCTCTCTCCGTTTTTGTATACGGGGCGTTTTACTATATTTTAGGTTGTTTTTGACGTCTTTCCCTTGAATTAAATCTTGGTGTCTTTTTCAATCGATTTTGAAAATACTCTATTTTATAGTAAATTTTCGTCTCTTTTCGATGGTACTTGTCTCAATTTTCTATCTCTCTCCGTTTTTGTATACGGGGCGTTTTACTATATTTTAGGTTGTTTTTGACGTCTCTCCCTTGAATTAAAACTTGATGTCTTTCTGAATCGATGTTCAAAGTACTTAATTTTATAGTAAATTTTCGTCTCTTTTCGATGGTACTTGTCTCAATTTTCTATCTCTCTCCGTTTTCGTATACGGGACGTTTTACTATATTTTAGGTTGTTTTTGACGTCTTTCCCTTGAATTAAATCTTGGTGTCTTTTTCAATCGATTTTGAAAATACTCTATTTTATAGTAAATTTTCGTCTCTTTTCGATGGTACTTGTCTCAATTTTCTATCTCTCCCCGTTTTTGTATACGGGGCGTTTTACTATATTTTAGCTTGTTTTTGACGTCTCTCCCTTGAATTAAATTTTGATGTCTTTCTGAATCGATGTTCAAAGTACTTAATTTTATAGTAAATTTTCGTCTCTTTTCGATGGTACTTGTCTCAATTTTCTATCTCTCTCCGTTTTCGTATACGGGACGTTTTACTATATTTTAGGTTGTTTTTGACGTCTTTCCCTTGAATTAAATCTTGGTGTCTTTTTCAATCGATTTTGAAAATACTCTATTTTATAGTAAATTTTCGTCTCTTTTCGATGGTACTTGTCTCAATTTTCTATCTCTCCCCGTTTTTGTATACGGGGCGTTTTACTATATTTTAGCTTGTTTTTGACGTCTCTCCCTTGAATTAAATTTTGATGTCTTTCTGAATCGATGTTCAAAGTACTTAATTTTATGGTAAATTTTCGTCTCTTTTCGATGGTACTTGTCTCAATTTTCTATCTCTCTCCGTTTTTGTATACGGGACGTTTTACTATATTTTAGGTTGTTTTTGACGTCTCTCCCTTGAATTAAAACTTGATGTCTTTCTGAATCGATGTTCAAAGTACTTAATTTTATAGTAAATTTTCGTCTCTTTTCGATGGTACTTGTCTCAATTTTCTATCTCTCTCCGTTTTTGTATACGGGACGTTTTACTATATTTTAGGTTGTTTTTGACGTCTTTCCCTTGAATTAAATCTTGGTGTCTTTTTCAATCGATTTTGAAAATACTCTATTTTATAGTAAATTTTCGTCTCTTTTCGATGGTACTTGTCTCAATTTTCTATCTCTCCCCGTTTTTGTATACGGGGCGTTTTACTATATTTTAGCTTGTTTTTGACGTCTCTCCCTTGAATTAAATTTTGATGTCTTTCTGAATCGATGTTCAAAGTACTTAATTTTATAGTAAATTTTCGTCTCTTTTCGATGGTACTTGTCTCAATTTTCTATCTCTCTCCGTTTTTGTATACGGGGCGTTTTACTATATTTTAGGTTGTTTTTGACGTCTTTCCCTTGAATTAAATCTTGGTGTCTTTTTCAATCGATTTTGAAAATACTCTATTTTATAGTAAATTTTCGTCTCTTTTCGATGGTACTTGTCTCAATTTTCTATCTCTCTCCGTTTTTGTATACGGGGCGTTTTACTATATTTTAGGTTGTTTTTGACGTCTCTCCCTTGAATTAAAACTTGATGTCTTTCTGAATCGATGTTCAAAGTACTTAATTTTATAGTAAATTTTCGTCTCTTTTCGATGGTACTTGTCTCAATTTTCTATCTCTCTCCGTTTTCGTATACGGGACGTTTTACTATATTTTAGGTTGTTTTTGACGTCTTTCCCTTGAATTAAATCTTGGTGTCTTTCTGAATCGATGTTCAAAGTACTTAATTTTATAGTAAATTTTCGTCTCTTTTCGATGGTACTTGTCTCAATTTTCTATCTCTCTCCGTTTTTGTATACGGGGCGTTTTACTATATTTTAGGTTGTTTTTGACGTCTTTCCCTTGAATTAAATCTTGGTGTCTTTTTCAATCGATTTTGAAAATACTCTATTTTATAGTAAATTTTCGTCTCTTTTCGATGGTACTTGTCTCAATTTTCTATCTCTCTCCGTTTTTGTATACGGGGCGTTTTACTATATTTTAGGTTGTTTTTGACGTCTCTCCCTTGAATTAAAACTTGATGTCTTTCTGAATCGATGTTCAAAGTACTTAATTTTATAGTAAATTTTCGTCTCTTCTCGATGGTACTTGTCTCAATTTTCTATCTCTCTCCGTTTTTGTATACGGGACGTTTTACTATATTTTAGGTTGTTTTTGACGTCTCTCCCTTGAATTAAAACTTGATGTCTTTCTGAATCGATGTTCAAAGTACTTAATTTTATAGTAAATTTTCGTCTCTTTTCGTTGGTACTTGTCTCAATTTTCTATCTCTCTCCGTTTTTGTATACGGGGCGTTTTACTATATTTTAGGTTGTTTTTGACGTCTCTCCCTTGAATTAAAACTTGATGTCTTTCTGAATCGATGTTCAAAGTACTTAATTTTATAGTAAATTTTCGTCTCTTTTCGATGGTACTTGTCTCAATTTTCTATCTCTCTCCGTTTTTGTATACGGGACGTTTTACTATATTTTAGGTTGTTTTTGACGTCTTTCCCTTGAATTAAGTCTTGGTGTCTTTTTCAATCGATTTTGAAAATACTCTATTTTATAGTAAATTTTCGTCTCTTTTCGATGGTACTTGTCTCAATTTTCTATCTCTCCCCGTTTTTGTATACGGGGCGTTTTACTATATTTTAGCTTGTTTTTGACGTCTCTCCCTTGAATTAAATTTTGATGTCTTTCTGAATCGATGTTCAAAGTACTTAATTTTATAGTAAATTTTCGTCTCTTTTCGATGGTACTTGTCTCAATTTTCTATCTCTCTCCGTTTTTGTATACGGGGCGTTTTACTATATTTTAGGTTGTTTTTGACGTCTCTCCCTTGAATTAAAACTTGATGTCTTTCTGAATCGATGTTCAAAGTACTTAATTTTATAGTAAATTTTCGTCTCTTTTCGATGGTACTTGTCTCAATTTTCTATCTCTCCCCGTTTTTGTATACGGGGCGTTTTACTATATTTTAGCTTGTTTTTGACGTCTCTCCCTTGAATTAAATTTTGATGTCTTTCTGAATCGATGTTCAAAGTACTTAATTTTATAGTAAATTTTCGTCTCTTTTCGATGGTACTTGTCTCAATTTTCTATCTCTCTCCGTTTTTGTATACGGGGCGTTTTACTATATTTTAGGTTGTTTTTGACGTCTCTCCCTTGAATTAAAACTTGATGTCTTTCTGAATCGATGTTCAAAGTACTTAATTTTATAGTAAATTTTCGTCTCTTTTCGATGGTACTTGTCTCAATTTTCTATCTCTCCCCGTTTTTGTATACGGGGCGTTTTACTATATTTTAGCTTGTTTTTGACGTCTCTCCCTTGAATTAAATTTTGATGTCTTTCTGAATCGATGTTCAAAGTACTTAATTTTATAGTAAATTTTCGTCTCTTTTCGTTGGTACTTGTCTCAATTTTCTATCTCTCTCTCCGTTTTTGTATACGGGGCGTTTTACTATATTTTAGGTTATTTTTGACGTCTCTCCCTTGAATTAAAACTTGATGTCTTTCTGAATCGATGTTCAAAGTACTTAATTTTATAGTAAATTTTCGTCTCTTTTCGTTGGTACTTGTCTCAATTTTCTATCTCTCTCCGTTTTTGTATACGGGGCGTTTTACTATATTTTAGGTTGTTTTTGACGTCTCTCCCTTGAATTAAAACTTGATGGCTTTCTGAATCGATGTTCAAAGTACTTAATTTTATAGTAAATTTTCGTCTCTTTTCGTTGGTACTTGTCTCAATTTTACTATATTTAAGCTTATTTTTGACGTCCCTCCCTTGAATTAAAATTTGATGTATAATTTTTTTTTTTTTATAAAGTTAATAATAAAAAAGTTTCCCATATGCTGCGAACTTAAGTGGACTGTATTTTTTAAACAATCACTTGGCCAGTGGACAATAATAGTTGAACATTTTTTTTTCTTTTTAGCGACTTCGATTCTTTATCACCCCACGATGTTAAAGGAAATTGTAAGAAAGCATTTGATGCAGGCGATAAACTCGGCATACCCAGAGTCATTGAGCCATCAGATATGCATATGTTAGCAGGTAAACCATTTATACAGAGCGTTCAAATTAAATTGTATAAAATTATATAAAAAAGTTTCAGACGAAAGTTTTATAGTTTTTTGGGGGAAACATTTTGACTAAATTAATTTTTTATAGATATCCATAATATAACCATATCGAGGTGTATTTTTTTTATATATTAGAACCCTATTTTTCACATATTTTTAAAGTTCATAAAAAAATAAGAATCTTTTAAAGTAAACGTTTTTTATTTGACTTTATTCGATTTTAGTTAAAATATTTTCCCCCAAAAACTATAAAACTTTCGTCTGAAACTTATTTTTATAAAATACATTTTTGCGGCTGTATTTAACTGTAACATTTTAATTTAAACACCCGGTATACTGTTCAAAATTATCTCACTACTCGGTATAAGTGTTTTACTAAAATTATTATGTGGCAGCCGCGTTTAGTTTAACTAGATTCTTCATTGTTTCTCAATGTAGTTTGTAGTATAACAATGGAATTTTGTAAAAAAAAAATCACCAATACCAAAAAAGAAAACAGTAATTTTCCTCAAATCTCACATTCGAGAAATAGTTTATTTTATCCTTCATCGCTTATCATTATAAAATTCTCAATAAAATCTTAAATTAGCAGTTCAAATTACAATGGTAAAAAAAAAGTTTGTAGAAAATTCTTTCTGTTGTTTTTTCATGTTTATGTATAAAAAATTGTGATTAGAACGTGTTTTTATTTTCTTTAACGGATATACCACATTCTAGAAATAGTTTACTTTGTCCTTCATCGCTAGATATTGTAAAATTCTTTTAGTACCCGATAAGTTGGCAGTAATGACTTACCTCCATCAATTAAGAGCTCATTTCACCGGCCACCAGCTCGAAGTACAGCAAATCGGAAAAACTGCCGAAGAATCGAACTACATAATAGGAAAATTCAATACGGATAAGGATACGGACATCACGAAACAAGTATTCGGTCAGGAAATTTTGAATTTGCGAAAAGCCAAGCAAAATAAGAAACAAGAAAATGAAAAAGAATTAGAAATGAATCTTGCCAATAAATATGAACAGAAAGGCGACGCTTCCAAACTTAGGTTACCGTTGAAAATAACGAACGAGCCCGATCCTGTTAGAGAAAATAAGGAAAAATCGCCTGGTGTTGGGAAGGATGTGAAAAATATTTTCAATAAGGTAAAACTTTTTTTTTAATTAGGTTCATTTAAACATTTTTTTTTTTTTAATAACGTTTATTGCCTGATGATAATAAATTAAAGAAACTTGAAGTATTCAGAGTTACAAAGCTTATCGCCTAAGACAACTGACAGTTGACGTTGATCAGTGTACCAATTTTTTAGAACAGACCTTTTGATGATTTCAGGATTATTATTTCCTTGTTTATATAAGTTAATATAACATTTAAGCTATAATGGGAAAAAAAGTTTGTAGAAAATTCCTTCTGTTCTTTTTTCAGGCATGTTTATATATAAAAAAAATATACCACATTCTAGAAATAGTTTACTTTTTCCTTCATCGCTTATCGTTATAATTTGTTCAATAAAATCTTAAATTAGCGTTTCAAGTTACAATGGGGGAAAAAGTTTGTAGAAAATTCCTTCTGTTCTTTTTTCATATATGTTTATAATATATAAAAAAATATACCACATTCTAGAAATAGTTTACTTTGTCCTTCATCGCTTATCGTTATAAAAAGCGTAATAAAATCTTAAATTAGCGTTTCAAATTACAATGGGAAAAAAAAAGTTTGTAGAAAATTCCTTCTGTTCTTTTTTCGTGAGGTATTCTGGTATTGTGTCCCATTTCTAAATGTTTTAACAGTTTTCTCAAAAATCTACTAAGTTAACTCTTTGTTGTAGGTAATAACTTCTCATTTATTATAAGATTCTCAATAAAATCTTAAATTAGCGCATCAAAATACAATGGGGAAAAAAAGTTTGTAGAAAATTCCTTCTGTTCTTTTTTCATATATGTTTATAATATATAAAAAAATATACCACATTCTAGAAATAGTTTACTTTGTCCTTCATCGTTTATCGTTATAAAATGCTTAATAAAATCTTATATTAGCGTTTCAAATTACAATGGGGAAAAAAAGTTTGTAGAAAATTCCTTCTGTTCTTTTTTCGTGAGATATTCTGGTATTGTGTCCCATTTCTAAATGTTTTAACAGTTTTCTCAAAAATCTACTAACTCTTTGTTGTAGGTAATAACTTCTCCTTTATTATAAGATTCTCAATACAATCTTAAATTAGCGCATCAAATTACAATGGGACAAAAAAAGTTTGTAGAAAATTCCTTCTGTTCTTTTTTCATATATGTTTATAATATATAAAAAAAATATACCACATTCTAGAAATACTTTACTTTGTCCTTCATCGCTTATCGTTATAAAATGCTTAATAAAATCTTAAATTAGCGTTTCAAATTACAATGGGAAAAAAAGTTTGTAGAAAATTCCTTCTGTTCTTTTTTCGTGAGGTATTCTGGTATTGTGTCCCATTTCTAAATGTTTTAACAGTTTTCTCAAAAATCTACTAAGTTAACTCTTTGTTGTAGGTCATAACTTCTCATTTATTGTAAGATTCTCAATAAAATCTTAAATTAGCGCATCAAATTACAATGGGGAAAAAAAGTTTGTAGAAAATTCCTTCTGTTTTTTTTTCATATATGTTTATAATATATAAAAAAAATATACCACATTCTAGAAATACTTTACTTTGTCCTTCATCGCTTATCGTTATAAAATGCTTAATAAAATCTTAAATTAGCGTTTCAAATTACAATGGGAAAAAAAGTTTGTAGAAAATTCCTTCTGTTCTTTTTTCGTGAGGTATTCTGGTATTGTGTCCCATTTCTAAATGTTTTAACAGTTTTCTCAAAAATCTACTAAGTTACCTCTTTGTTGTAGGTCATAACTTCTCATTTATTGTAAGATTCTCAATAAAATCTTAAATTAGCGCATCAAATTACAATGGGGAAAAAAAGTTTGTAGAAAATTCCTTCTGTTTTTTTTTCATATATGTTTATAATATATAAAAAAATATACTTCATTCTAGAAATAGTTTACTTTGTCCTTCATCGTTTATCGTTATAAAATGCTTAATAAAATCTTAAATTAGCGTTTCAAATTACAATGGGACAAAAAAAGTTTGTAGAAAATTTCTTCTGTTCCTTTTCGTGAGGTATTGAGTTAACTTTTCTTGTAGGTAATAACTTCTCCTATTAAAGACAACCATGAGCAACAGAAAAAAGAAGAAATAAAAAAACCAATACTCATGACTAGAAGAGAATTGACAGATCCTTTCGGTTCGGACGACGAGGATTCCCCTCCGGCCGATCAGAAAGCGACAAATAATAAAATCGCGGAACTCAATGGTGATATTAATGGCATTGAAGATGTGGCTGATAACAATCAGAAAAGCGACGATGTTTTTTCTGACTTGCCGAAACCAAATTTGGTAAGTAAATCTTTTTTCAAACTATTTTAAGTATTATGCTTTGCAAATTTTTTCATGCTTGCTAACTAGTTGTTTAAAGTTAATAGTGTTTGATATTTTTGACTTTAAATTAGAATATTTGGTATACATTTTAAATACTTTTAAAATACAGTGCTGACAAAATCAAACCTTCAGTCCTGATTTGCTTGTATTGGAGTTAAATGGTGTTCATGTGTGTGTGAAATGAAAAGACACAATAACAATATTAGCAGTCACTGGTTTTCTTTTCTAAACTCCAATACATGCAAAGCAGTACTGAAAGTTTGACATTGCTATTACTGTATATTTTTTAAACTATTTTTCTTTTCATATACAATATATAATATCTTTTAATTCTCGAAGGTTTATATCATGGCACCCTCTAACTTCTGGGAAGCCTTTTACGTTTGTTACTTATAAGTGGTGACAATTTCAACACTTCTTTTGACCGCTATTTCCCATTCTTTGAATATGTTCAATCCAAGTGAAACGATTTCCTTTTATGATGTTTATAATATTATTTTTTCTTCTACATTTCCCATATTTCTGTTATGTAAATATAAAGTTTCTTGATGATACTCTCAGTTGCAAAAACAGATTGTTAAATAATGATTTCATAACTTTATTAGACCGTGAATAAATTGGAGATCATGTCAAAGTTTATTGGGTTTATAAATTTTAATAAACTTTCTTGTAACTGGCGATTCGTTTGTTGTATTTTTATTACTTCAGAGTATAGACTTCATTTACCAAAACTGATTGTTTTTCCCCTTTGTTCTATTTTATATACATCTTTACCAGCTATTTAAAACAAGAGTATAGTAGTGTTTATTGGTGTCTCTTCCAATATTAAAATCATATTTTTCGTTTTTCTATTTTTTTCTATTAGTTTTCTCAACATTTCTCAATATTAATTTCATTTCCCATTTACTATCCAATTGTTACTTTTTTTTACAGTCTTAGAGTAATTTTTCATATGGTTTCTTTTTTACAGTCCACTTACCTTTTTAATTTTCGTCTCTAGAAATCGGCTAGCTTCTAATTTTATTGTTTTTTTAATGCTTTTATTGTTGTGCAAATAGGACCCAAGGGCATATATTTTTACGCATCGTACACCGATATAAACTTAATTATTTCATGCAAAGGTTTGGCTTGCAATTAAAAATTTTTTCGCGCACCTGCAGCAAATACTCATGAGGCATACCGAGCAAAGAGAGAGGGCGCGGCAGTTGTTAGAGCAAGTGAAAAAGGACGGGTCCAATCCGACTTCCCCCTCGAAGGTATGTATGTGTTTTTTAATTACTAGCGTATTAAAATTGTAAATAAAATTAAAATTGTATAATTATAGTATAAGATTGTTAGGCGTTAATGTCTAACCTTTTGTATTAGTTTCACAAACATGTATAAATCGCCTAAAACGACCGTTAGGCGTAAAGGTATCCTTGCCTCTACCAATAAATAAAAAATAAAACAATTAAAAACAAATAAAAAACAAAGTAATAACAAATAAAAACAATTAAAAAACAAATAAAAACAAATAAAAACAAACAAAAACAAATAAAAACAAATAAAAACAAATAAAAACAAATAAAAACAAATAAAAACAAATAAAAACAAATAAAAACAAATAAAAACAAATAAAAACAAATAAAAACAAATAAAAACAAATAAAAACAAATAAAAACAAATAAAAACAAATAAAAACAAATAAAAACAAATAAAAACAAATAAAAACAAATAAAAACAAATAAAAACAAATAAAAACAAATAAAAACAAATAAAAACAAATAAAAACAAATAAAAACAAATAAAAACAAATAAAAACAAATAAAAACAAATAAAAACAAATAAAAACAAATAAAAACAAATAAAAACAAATAAAAACAAATAAAAACAAATAAAAACAAATAAAAACAAATAAAAACAAATAAAAACAAATAAAAACAAATAAAAACAAATAAAAACAAATAAAAACAAATAAAAACAAATAAAAACAAATAAAAACAAATAGAAACAAATAGAAACAAATAGAAACAAATAAAAACAAATAAAAACAAATAGAAACAAATAGAAACAAATAAAAACAAATAAAAACAAATAAAAACAAATGAAAACAAATAAAAACAAATGAAAACAAATAAAAACAAAAACAAATAAAAACAAAAACAAATAAAAACAAACAAATAAAAACAGATAAAAACAAATAAAAACAAATAAAAACAAATAAAAACAAATAAAAACAAATAAAAACAAATAAAAACAAATAAAAACAAATAAAAACAAATAAAAACAAATAAAAACAAATAAAAACAAATAAAAACAAATAGAAACAAATAGAAACAAATAAAAACAAATAAAAACAAATAGAAACAAATAGAAACAAATAGAAACAAATAAAAACAAATAAAAACAAATAAAAACAAATGAAAACAAATGAAAACAAAAACAAATAAAAACAAAAACAAATAAAAACAGATAAAAACAAATAAAAACAAATAAAAACAAATAAAAACAAATAAAAACAAATAAAAACAAATAAAAACAAATAAAAACAAATAAAAACAAATAAAAACAAATAAAAACAAATAAAAACAAATAAAAACAAATAAAAACAAATAAAAACAAATAAAAACAAATAAAAACAAATAAAAACAAATAGAAACAAATAGAAACAAATAGAAACAAATAAAAACAAATAAAAACAAATAAAAACAAATGAAAACAAATAAAAACAAAAACAAATAAAAACAAATAAAAACAAATAAAAACAAATAAAAACAAATAAAAACAAATAAAAACAAATAAAAACAAATAAAAACAAATAAAAACAAATAAAAACAAATAAAAACAAATAAAAACAAATAAAAACAAATAAAAACAAATAAAAACAAATAAAAACAAATAAAAACAAATAAAAACAAATAAAAACAAATAAAAACAAATAAAAACAAATAAAAACAAATAAAAACAAATAAAAACAAATAAAAACAAATAAAAACAAATAAAAACAAATAAAAACAAATAAAAACAAATAAAAACAAATAAAAACAAATAAAAACAAATAAAAACAAATAAAAACAAATAAAAACAAATAAAAACAAATAAAAACAAATAAAAACAAATAAAAACAAATAAAAACAAATAAAAACAAATAAAAACAAATAAAAACAAATAAAAACAAATAAAAACAAATAAAAACAAATAAAAACAAATAAAAACAAATAAAAACAAATAAAAACAAATAAAAACAAATAAAAACAAATAAAAACAAATAGAAACAAATAGAAACAAATAGAAACAAATAGAAACAAATAGAAACAAATAGAAACAAATAGAAACAAATAAAAACAAATAAAAACAAATAAAAACAAATGAAAACAAATGAAAACAAATAAAAACAAATGAAAACAAATAAAAACAAAAACAAATAAAAACAAAAACAAATAAAAACAAACAAATAAAAACAGATAAAAACAAATAAAAACAAATAAAAACAAATAAAAACAAATAAAAACAAATAAAAACAAATAAAAACAAATAAAAACAAATAAAAACAAATAAAAACAAATAAAAACAAATAGAAACAAATAGAAACAAATAAAAACAAATAAAAACAAATAGAAACAAATAGAAACAAATAAAAACAAATAAAAACAAATGAAAACAAAAACAAATAAAAACAAAAACAAATAAAAACAGATAAAAACAAATAAAAACAAATAAAAACAAATAAAAACAAATAAAAACAAATAAAAACAAATAAAAACAAATAAAAACAAATAAAAACAAATAAAAACAAATAAAAACAAATAAAAACAAATAAAAACAAATAAAAACAAATAAAAACAAATAAAAACAAATAAAAACAAATAAAAACAAATAGAAACAAATAGAAACAAATAAAAACAAATAAAAACAAATAAAAACAAATGAAAACAAATAAAAACAAAAACAAATAAAAACAAATAAAAACAAATAAAAACAAATAAAAACAAATAAAAACAAATAAAAACAAATAAAAACAAATAAAAACAAATAAAAACAAATAAAAACAAATAAAAACAAATAAAAACAAATAAAAACAAATAAAAACAAATAAAAACAAATAAAAACAAATAAAAACAAATAAAAACAAATAAAAACAAATAAAAACAAATAAAAACAAATAGAAACAAATAAAAACAAATAGAAACAAATAGAAACAAATAGAAACAAATAAAAACAAATAAAAACAAATGAAAACAAATGAAAACAAATAAAAACAAAAACAAATAAAAACAAATAAAAACAAATAAAAACAAATAAAAACAAATAAAAACAAATAAAAACAAATAAAAACAAATAAAAACAAATAAAAACAAATAAAAACAAATAAAAACAAATAAAAACAAATAAAAACGAATAAAAACAAATAAAAACAAATAAAAAGTAAATAACAAATAAAAACAAATAAAAATAAAAAATATACAGTGTGTTCGAAATTGGTAATACATGTATTGCGATATTCTAAACTGTTGGAAATAGAAAAACAGTTAAATTGGTAAACTTTTAGACAATTCTGTTTATAATTCAATGCCGTTTAGTTCGAGATTTTTTCTCTTTTGGTTTTTGAGATATTTTGAAACAAAAACTAAAATGACGCATTTCCGAAAATACCCTGTATTTTCTTTATTTATAAAAATTTATAAAATCTGTAAAAACTTTCTTATAGCAACTTTTTACGTAGAAATCGTCTGTGTCGTCAGATTTTATTTGCAACGTTTCGGTTTGTAAATTTTTGTAAATTCGTCCAATCTATTATATATAAATTCGTTAGAAGTAACCTCATTTAATTTTAATAATACTTTTGTTGGGTGATATGAAATTAATGTAAAATACTGTAGTTTGCTTTCGTATACGTCATTATCATTTTAGCAAAGTACACTGTCCCAAATTGCTTTGATTTTCATCATAATTGTATATTTGCTTGATTATTCACCACTTTCTTATTTTTAGTATTTAATAATTGCACATTATTGCATGGTCATTTTTTTATCAAAATATTAGTCTATTGCTTGTATTTGTATCAATAAAAAAATTTGGAAATAGTATTTTTTTTTCCAACCATCGACTATTGTCTGAACAAATTCTTTTGACATCAATATATGTTACTATTATTTTATTTAATTGTAATATTATTGAACTATGTTTTATTGTAAGTAAATATAAAAGTTTATAGTCTCAAATAATGAAGTAATTTAAAAGAATAGAAGTTTTCAATATAATCATTAATTATGATCGAATTTCGACCACTGGGAGAACACTAGTTTAATAAATATATAATTTAATTCTAAATAAAAAATCACCTACAGTTATTACATATTTTTTATAGTCTGAAGAAGAAAGGCAAGCGCTTCTTCGAGAACGAGCGAAGAGGCTTATTGCGGACGCAAGACGAGGTTCCGGTTCTACTACGGAAGTCATAAGGATCAGTCCGGATTCGGTTAGAGCTTACGTAGAAGCCGACGATAAATTGAAGAAGTTGGATAACGAAATTCGAATGTTAGAACGTCAACATAGTACAGGTAAATAATAATGTGATGCAAAAAAACTACTAGAAGTAGAATCAAACAGTATTGTTGGAAAAACCTTTTTAATCCTGGGGTACATGTTTCAACCAATTTTAATGAATAACATTTGTAAATTCTTTTTCCTTAGTCTTTTATTCCCAAGTGCAAATTTAGTTAAATATTGGTTAAGAAAGTTTGAGAGTAATGAAAATTAAATTTCAAACTTTCGTAACCAATTTTTAACTAAATTTGCACTTGGGACATCTTTCTTTCTTGCTATAATGATTTATGTATAAACGATTCACAAGAATATAGGAATAATTGTTTTTATAAAATACATGAATACAAAAAGCACGTTGTATCCCATAAATCACTCCATTTTAACTAGGAAATGCAGATGTAAGGGTATATATGCCCGAAGGTTATAGCCTAAAAACTACATCATGAAAAGACATCGTGAAAACCGAAATTTTGATAATAGACGACAATAGTGCTTTTCGTAGTCCGATTTACATTTGAGTGAGCTATCTATATAATTATATATCATTGGATCTTTCCCTTTTAATACACCAACGCCATCTTAATTTTATACATTTAGGGGAACAATTTTTGAGATAAACAACTGTATGAGACTGTTCTTCTTTCCTTTACACTCCATAATTTTAACTACAACTTAATACTGTTGACCACCACCCTTTGCAAACTTCGTTTTTTCTTGGGAATGTGCCTATTGCACCAGCGAACGGATTAATAAACGAAAATATTTTTGGGACACCCTTTACTTTACTAAAATTATAACAAGTTATGAATACATTTCTTTTATCATTAGGGTCCGAGAAGAATGGTAACATATATGCTAGTTTACATGGCTGTGAGGAACCCTCTATTAAGTCTAGTCCGTTAGAAAATGGTAGAGAAAGAATTACTCCCGATAGATTACCAGATGAATTAGGTTTAAAAGAGGTAAGTAATTTTTAGGTTATATTTTTATTATTTCTTTTCAGATTTTACTATGTAGTGTTTTGTCATAACAATGTCTGACGGTGACGCCCTAAATATCTGAAATCCGATATATAATAATAATAATAAAGGTCTTTATTGTTTTCATTACAGCATTTTACAAAATTAATATTACTAATAGTTTATTAAAGAAAACAAAAGGCGAAGTTCACTTTCCAAAGTTTAAAAAAAAACACTTGGAAAATGTTCTTCCACTTAACCCAATGATGGTGTTTATATACATATGTAAATACGAGTAGGTATATGAACTAAATCTAAACATATTGAAAAATCAAAATAAAAACAAAACACTATATCTTTATATTTTTATATTTTAGAGGGGGCAGGTAGAACAATTACGATTTAAGTGCATTGCTTGCTAAATAACAAGGTTTTGTATTTACATTTGAAAGTAAGAGGGTTAAGATTTTTAAATATAATAGGAACAGAATTATACAATTGAAAAATTTGATATGAAAACGAACGTCTAAATAGTTCGGATCTAAATTGAGGTGGTGATAGTAGACCTTTGAATCTTAAATTTAAGTTGTGAACATCTGTCCTAAAGGATATTTTTTTGTAAAGATAAATGGGGATTTTATACAAGACAATTTTGTGGTATAGCGTAGTTGCATGATGAATTCGTCGGTTTTCCATATTTAGCCAACCGATTTCTTTGAGTTTATGTGATATCCTTTGATATTTTCTTATACCGTATATGAGTCTTAAGCAACTGTTTTGTATTTTTTGTATTTTTTTTAAGGTTACTGTTAAATTTGGACCATAGACAGAATCAGCAAAATTAAAATTTGATAGTACAAGTGATTCACATAGTGATATTTTAATTCTTTTAGGCAACAACTTACGATTACCGTATATCAATTTTAATGAGCTATAAGCTCTCTGAATCAATTTAGTGATGTGTTTTTCAAACCTTAATTCAGAATCAATTAAAACTCCTAAGTTTTTAGCTTCATTTACTATGGTTAGTCTATCATTATTAATTTCAATACCTAATTCTTCAATAATTTTGTCACGATTACGACTTGATCCAAACAACATCACATTAGATTTTGTAGCATTAATTAGTAAACAGTGCTCAGTTGCTGATCCAACAAAAGAATTCAAATCACGATTAATTATCTCACACGCATTTTGTGATAGATCTGGAGGGAAACTGTAATAAATCTGAGTGTCATCGGCATATAGGTGAATTTTACAGTTTTCTAAAGAATTAATAAGGTTCGAAGTGTATATTGAAAAAAGCAGAGGGCCTAAAATGGAACCTTGGGGTACGCCCGAGTGAAGATTTAAAAATTCTGATTTATGTTCATCGATTTTAACACATTGTTTGCGATTTTCCAAAAAATCTTTAATAAATAATATAGCGTTGTCAGCAAAACCTATATAATGCAAGATGCTTAATAATAAATTATGATTTATCGTATCGAAAGCTCTACTAAAATCTAATAGAGTTAAGATAGTACAATGCCCTTTGTCAGTTGCAGTAATGATATCATCTAATATTTCCAGAAGTGCTGTTGTACAGCTATACCCTCTGCGAAAACCTGATTGAACAGGGGGCAACAATGAGTTATTTGATAAATGTTCTGTTATTTGCTTTTCCACTGCTTTTTCTAAAATTTTGGATAGCATTGGTAAAATGCTGATCCCCCTAAGGTCTTTATACTCAGTTGGGTTTTGTTTTTTTTGGGTATCACTTTTACAATTGCTTTTTTCCAGACAGTAGGCACAACATTGTTTAAAAGGCAAAAATTGATAATATGCGTAATGTATGAAACAATATGCGGACAGCATAATTTAACAAACTTACTGTTCAAATGATCACAGCCTATCGCATTTGATTTCATTTTGCAAATACTGGTAAATATAAATGTTTCGTCAACTTCTCTGAATTTAAATGTACAAGGTACAACATTATTAGTATTATAAAAGTTTAATAACTTCTGGGGCGGAATAATATTTGAAATTGAGTTCACTAAAAAATTATTAATGTGGTTAGGATTTTTTAAATTTTCGGGAATATCTTGATTTTTATTTTTCACAAAATTATTAGATTTTAAAGTGTGCCATATTTCTTTATTAGTACACTTACTAAATTGATGTAAGAAGTAAGCTCTTTTTTCTCTTTTTATAGCTTGATTTGTGTAATTTTTAAGGTTTTTATAAAATTGTAAGTGACCTTCCAATTTTGTACGTTTATATTTTTTTAATGCCTTGTCCCTTTCATTCATCATTTGCCTTATAGTGAAAGTTAGCCATGGAGCTTTCTTTTTTGTAAATCTGGAGGTAACTAAGGGAGCATGTCTATCAAGTATAGAAACTAGACAATTTACAAGATATGACACCTTTTCATCGACAGTATCTTGATCAAAAATGCGAAAAAATGATGTACTTGTTAAATCATTTTGAAATTTATCTTCATCAAAATTTTTAAAAGATCTGTAGGTATACATTTTAGGTCCCTTTTGTTCTTTAACATTAATTTTACAAAAAATTAAGGAGTGATCCGAGATTGTATGATGAATGATACCCTTATCCACCAAGTTTTCCCTCCTAGCTATAGCACAGTCAAGTAAAGTCGAAGAAGATTTAGTTACTCTTGTTGGAACATCAATAACTTGCGCTAGGTCGAAAGATTCTAGAATTTCATTAAATTTGTGAAACGAAGCATTTTTATTAAAAAAATTCATATTAAGATCTCCTAAACAAACTACTTCATCAACTGTTAAAAAAATAGACGCCAAAGTATCCTCGAACTCCTCTAAAAAGTCAAATGAATTCTGTGCATGAGGCTTATAAACTACCCCTACAGCTAAATTCTTTTTATTTAGAGTTAACCTTATCCACATTTGTTCCCATAAATAGCCCTCATTTTTTATTATAAGTTCACAAACATATTTATTTTTGACATAGATACATAAACCCCTTCCTCTTGCATTTCTATCCCCACGATATAATGTATAACCCTTAACATTTAAATCATCATTACTAACATAGCTATGCAGCCATGTTTCACATATTAAAACAACCTCAAATGAATGTTCATCCAATAAATTTTTAAAATTTTGTAGCGATGGTAATAAAGACCGAGCATTTAAACAAGCTATATTAAAATAATCCATATGTTTCGACTCAAAAAAAAAAAAATGTAAAAGTTCAACTATCCTCTCTAAAGCGATTCAGAATAATAATATAAAATCCTATTTCTAAATAATAAAATAAATACTAAGCTGAGAATATCGATTTCTGATATACAAGATAAGCAAGTCCAAAAACTAGTTAGAAATGGGAGCAACTAACTGCACAAATGTAGTTTTATTTAAACCGAACTCTTTTGTGCTAACTTAAAATCTATTATTTGAAGGAACTAAACAAATATTTGATCATTAATTTAAACAATATAAAACAATATAATTTGATAAATTTTAGAGATTAGGCAGATACAATTTAATTTTAGAATTTAATAATTAAGAGAATAACATCACTTTTTTTTTAAATTGTCAACATCCTTCAATTCACTGATTTTGATAACATCTTTGCTTCCGTTAAATTTAACGAAGATGTTTCCTTTATTTGTCCATACTAAACCATTCTCGCTAACTTTCCTTATTGCAGCTTTGAGTACCTTTAATGTTTCAATTGACAAATCTTCTCTCATCACTATATTAGTTCCTTTTAAGTGCTTCTTGTTATTAAATATTAGATTCTTTAAATAAGCCGTACCAAATTGAACAAAAATTGGGCGAATATTATTTTTATCATTGATTTTTATGCGGTAACAACTGTCAATATTACCTACATCGAGAGTAATATTCAGTTTAGATTTAATTAATTCTAAAACAGTAACTTCACAGTTTTCATGCTCAGATTCGGGTACTCCATAAAGTAAAACATTCTTTTGTCTCCTAAATTGGTCACAAATATTATATTTATCTTCTAAAACTTTAATTTTATTAATTTGTTCATGGAGCTGAGATTTAAGACCGTTATTTTCTTGTTTTAGAAAAAATATTTCTTTGTCATATTTCTTTGAAATTATTTCAGTTATAGCATCGGCAAGTTGGAGGACAAATTCTTCAGACGTTACAAGTTTATTTATTAAATTTTTAATCGACGAGTGCAGTTCGTCCTCGACTTTATCAGTTCTAGTTTTGGGCATTTTGAAAAAACAAACGTAACTTACTGCTTATTCGTAATTCCTTAACTTGAAAAATTCACAAAAATCAAATCAATGATACTGAATTGTGTTACTCACTAATTTACAATATTTTGCTCTAAATGGTTCAAGATTTATTAACTATTTACGCAGAGCAGTGCAAAACACGTCTATTCTGTACGACACATAGACACCATGATGAGGTCTGCATTTTTTATAAACCCTTCTTCATTGCTACCATAGATAATTATGTATCGAATTCCATCTCGTTTTTTTACTTACAGTAGTTATCATTCCATCTTGCCAACTTTTTCTGTCACTTCCCTTGCCATATACCGACATCTCATCCATAAATACAGGCTTAGAGTTACCCAGCTCTATCTGCTTGTTGAAATTTTTTAAAAACGACATTTTTTTTAACCAAATCAATTATACTTCCAATAAAAACTATTGGTAATTCTTTTAAAGCGAAAATTAATTTTTCGAATCCATGTATTAATTGATCATGCAGAACATTTCACATCAGGCATTTCTTCTGAAAATCGTTAATGTAACGATTTAATTGTTGCATGTTGCACATCTTTGTACATCTTATATATAACTTGCCTCAACTTACTTGATATTAAAAAATTGACCTTTGTTTTACTTTGGCCTACCTTTTTAGACGTTCTTTTCACATACTCTGTGTCAGAATTTGTTGATTTACAAGTCTATAGATAGTTTTATGCGAAATATTTAATGCCTCTGCAGCCATTTGATTGTACTTCTTTCCAAGAGCCTCGCA